ACCCTGAGTTAGAATAAGAATAGAATAAACAATTAAAAACTCTTAATTCTAATGAAGAAAAGAAGCAGAGTAATGAAATATGAAAATATCCCAAAGAATGGCACATCGATTTTTTAATTAATTTTACTTAAATCGTGTTGATTTAAGATTTTTTAAAAATTGGTTTCGTTAGGGTTATGGAACTAAAATCAATGTCAAATACTAATAAAGAAAGTAAGTTTAAGAAAAAAAAACATTTCTCCATAACATCAAGGCGCACTCCTTCATTAACATTTTTGATAAGCAAGTGTGCCTTTTCAAAAATTGTGCAATGTGTGGACCTAGGGTCATGTGTGGTAGGGACACTTCTGATTATTGCTGAATATTACTGATTTAGTTGATATGCATTTTTTGTTCCCGTACCCTGCCTATGGGTATTAAGGAGGCTTGGGGTCAATAAATTAACAACAAATTTACCACCAGGTATTAACTGTGCTCAACGGGTATCTTCCGGAAATAAATTTCCTCTGGTTCTGTCTCTCCACACGTACTAATTCTCCTGGTACTTTCCCACCTTTGTGGTATGCTACCTCTCTCCAAAACCAAGTTACTGCCTTATTCAGGTCTTACGTATGTTGGTAAGAATGAAACACTTAGCCCTCTATCCCCCGCAAATACCTGCCTTGTTTATGTCTTATCACAATGTTTCAGAACATACAGACAAGTTTTAACAATTTTAACTCTGTCACCAGAGAGATATCATGAGCTTTCTATAATAAGGCTTGTGGTTTTTAGTGCAGTCTCAGTACGTTAGCAATTTCACAACTTAAATTTTTTTTTTGTGAAATTAAACAAAACATGATGTCTAACGAAACTAAACGATAAAAATCAATTTCCGTACGATAAAAATAAATTTCTGTTTCTTTAACCCCCCCCCCCCCCCCTCAGAATTATACGCGTCCAGAAGATGATTTAGTATTTACAATGTTTACATCTGTACACAACTTTGCAATGCCTGACAGTTTTTTGTCATCTCTCAAGTGCAAAACTTCATTTATGCAGGTTTGGTTAATATCGGTCTTCTTGGTAGTAGACCTGTAACAGTAACTTTTACTGGTTCATTATCTGGGAAATGTTTGTCGGATATCCGAAATGATAAGAAGCAAGTCCCTTAGTTTGCATCCTTAGATACATCATTCATGTAAGTTTGCTGAAACATAGGGCATAAACCTGGTTTAGAAGAACCTGCTCCAAAAACTCCTACCTGTTCACTCATCCGTAAAATGTAGGTCAGTTACAGCACACGAAGCAATCCAGATTGTATACACCCTTAGTATCATCCATGTAAGCTTGGTCAACATGGGGCTTAAAGTTAGTTGAAATAAGACCTACACCAAAAAAAAAATGCACAAAACTGAAATGTTAAATTAACCTGCACCAAAAACTTTTTAGCATCCGAAGAAAGCCTGGTAGTATGCATCTATAAATGTATTATTCATGCAAGTTTTTCCATCATAAGGCTCACAGTTACTAAGAAATGAGATCTACACCCAAAAACTTTAACATGTTTACTCTTCCCAAAAATGTAGGTCAGATCCAGCATCCTAGGCAAGCCTGGTTGTATGCATACTTAGAATATCATCATTGCAAAAAAAGTTACCTGCTTGAAAAAACATAAATCTGGTCATTCCTTTGCTGATGTCGCAGCATCTGAAATCTTATTTAGTACAATGAAACACTTTAGAAGCGTCTTCCATGCATCCCTGATTAATGTTGGACATAGAAGTACATAAAAAGAAAACCTCCAAAAACCTTGACATGGGACGCCGACGGTATCACATATATGTAGGATCCCAAACTTGGTTGAGATAGCAACAATTTTACCACAGGGGTGGACTCCCTCTCCTTATTGCCAAAAAATGTGCATGTAGATGAGATAATGGTAATATAACAATAGAACTTTATGATAAACATGATGGCTTAAACTCCTCATCCTTATGTAGAAATATATCCTTACCATTTGTATCTGGGAATGATGTCTACAAGTTGATTCGATGCTCTACATAAGAACAATTTCTAATGACACTCAGGGCAAGCTATTGACAAACAAAAAGGGAAGCTATTGACAAACAAAAAGGGAAGCTATTGACAAATTGACGAAACAAAAATAACAGCAGTCTTGTTAAAAGTCATCGTAAAACTTACGTAATTTTTATGCTCTACACAATGACCCTTTATGCAAAATTTAATACAATCTTTCATTAAGGTCAGACGACACTTTAATTCCTAAAAAATAAATAATTTTTCCCAAGAAAATTGTAATTGAAGTATACATCCTTAAACAGGTTTCCTCACAAAAGATTGGGAACCTTACCAGGCATTTATTGGACCAGATACCAAAGGGTCATATTTCTTATATAACCCGTATGGGTAATCTCCTGAATTGCCTATATCACTATTTTTACTGTTCTTATACAGTTGTGTTCAAAAACATAATGAAAACAATGTAGAAATCAGAAGAGAATGACTAATATGAATAAGTTTTGATATCATACAAACAGATACAAAACATACATATTTGAGGAACGTGTTGTCTGACCTAAAGTAATGAGCTGGCTGATATTTTTATACTAATTGTTAGGCCATTATGTACACAATGAATTGTCAACATATTTTTTTCTCGTTTAATCATGACAAGAAACACATGGTGAGTGAGGCAGATAAAAGAGGTTACTTACTCCTCCATGCCACCTGATCCCATCTTTGATGTTTTAAGGGTTTGTTATTATTCTGCCAACGATTTTTATTGCTTCATTAGACATTTGAGTTAAATTACCATTTGTTTTTTTCTAAATTTTAATTTAATTTGTTTAAAAGTTGATTCTAAAATATTAATTGGTTACTAAGATCTCTTCATGTCTCTAAAAACAACAATTTTAAATTAAACGTTGATCTAGAACATAGGATTTACAAATATTTTATTTAATTATATCCTTTGTGCTTCTTTTTGATTCATCTATAAACACGATCAGAAAAAAAAGTTGCAGAAATTAAGATATCATTCATGCGTGTTTGTTAAGTTTATGACTACAATGCTTGCAAGTCAGACTAGATCCTAAAACTTTTGTTGTCACCTAAATTTTGCGCATCAGGAGCTAGCTGCCTCATTTATTTTCTATGCTTCTTTCAGACTTGATGGTGCATTATTCAGACTTTTTAAACATATGTTTAGTTTTAATTTAGCAAAGGGAAACAGTGTATCAAATCTATTTTACAAAATAAACGCAAAATATGAACAACCTTTACTAATTTCACCGCTTTATTATACCCCCCGCTTGAAAAGCGGGAGGGTATATAGTAATCGTTAATTCCGTCCGTCCGTCCGTCTGTACGTCCGTCTGTCCGTCCGTCTGTTACGCTTTGGGGTACCCATCTCTTATCCGCAACTCCTCTCATATCACTGAATGAAATTTCATGAAACTTTCGCAGAATCTTTATTACATATTGCCATTGTGCACCTCCTATTTTACTTTTTGATCCGACACATATTTTGGGTTTCCCGGCCACAGGAAAACATGGACTTTTTCACCAGTTATAACCATATGGGAGGCGGGGGGTATCATTTAGTGAGCTCATCGCTCACAGTACCTCTAGTTTATTTTTTTGTTTATTTTAAAAGTACAGAAAGTCTAGTTTTGTTGCACAATAGAATAAGCATGGAAACATTTGAGAAACATAGTCATCTGGACGGAATACTGAAACAAGAGGCCCAGGGGTCACATCGCTCACCTGAGCAATTGGCTAGGAAAAAGCACATATCAGATCAGAACTAAAAGTTTAGGGGGGGGCTTGAATTTTAACCCCAAAGGGTTCATGATTTGAACAAAATAGGATCTACACTACCTGAGGATGATTCCCTATAAATATCACTAAGCATGGCTTTGAAGTACTTGCAAAGAAGATTTGGTTTCCCTATATATTCATATGTAAAACTTTTATCGGCCATTTGGCCCCACCCTACCCCCGGGGGTCATGATTTGAACAAACTTGAATCTACAATACCTAGGGATGATTCCACAGGAGTTTCATCTTTCCTGGCCCAGTGGTTCTTGAGAAGAAGTTATTACCTATATATTCCTATGTAAAACTTCGATCTGCCATTTTGGCCCCACCCTACCCCCTGGGGTCATGATTTGAACAACTTGATTCTACACTACCTGAGGATGATTCCACATGAGTTTCATATTTCCTGGCCCAGTGGTTCTTGAGAAAAATATTTTAAAAGATTTTTCCTGTATATTCCTATGTAAAACTTTGATCAGCCATTTTGGCCCAACCCTACCCCCGGGGGTCATGATTTGGACAAACTTGAATCTACACTACCTGAGGATGATGCCACATGAGTTTCATCTTTCCTGGCCCAGTGGTTCTTGAGAAGAAGATTTTTAAAGATTTTTCCTATATATTCCTATGTAAAACTTTGACTGGCCATTTTGGCCCCATCCTAGCCCCGGGGGTCATGATTTGAACAAACTTGAATCTACACTACCTGAGGATGATTCCACATGAGTTTCATCTTTCCTGGCCCAGTGGTTCTTGAGAAGAAGATTTTTAAAGATTTTTCCTATATATTCCTATGTTAAACTTTGATCGGCCATTTTGGCCCCACCCTACCCCTGGGGGTCATGATTTGAACAAATTTGAATCTACACTACCTGAGGATGATTCCACATGAGTTTCATCTTTCCTGGCCCAGTGGTTCTTGAGAAGAAGATTTTTTTAAAATGCCATTAATTTTTCTCTAATTCATAATTATCACCCCTTGGAAATGGGCGTGGCCCTTTATTTGAACAAACTTCAACCCCCTTTACCTAAGGATACTTTGTAGCAAGTTTGGTTGAAATTGGCCCAGTGGTTCTTGAGAAGATGAAAATGTGAAAAGTTTACAACAACAACGACGACGACAACAACGACTACGACAGGTGAGCTAAAAAAAGCTTTAAAAAGCCAACTAAAAATAAAGAAAGATAACATTCACCCTGTAAAAAATTACAAATTCGGTTATCTCAATGTTTTATCATTGCACATAAGCAGTTCATATTTTGAATGTTAATATTTCCATCATGGAATAAAAGTTCAATTGTACATTTCAGAAAATGTTTCTTCACTGACTGAAATTCACACCAAAAGAGAAAAATAGGTTTGGCGTGGGTGTAGGTGTATGACCTTAGTTGACCTCTGGTGACCTCAGACCACCACCAATCCCTCGCTGACAGGCATGCTGATGACCCCTGTAATGATGGGAACACTCTTCCCGTCCTTCAGAACAAACACCTGTCATAATACAAAAATGTATAAATTACTAACAAACACACAAACAAATGATCCATCTTACACTTGAGTAACAGTAACAGAAAGCAATGAAAAATATGCTTTTTCCTACTGAACTAAATACCCCCCCCCCCTAAAAAAAGAGGCCCATGGGCCACATCGCTCACCTGAGCACTATGGGTAGGAAAAAGTAGAAAATGGCTATTTATTGTAAAGTTTAAATCCAAAAGTAGTCCCATGACCAATCATGGATTTGCTATTTTTTAGAAAATGATTTTTAAAGAATTTTCCTATATATTTCTTTAAAAACTTTGGTCAGCCATTTTGGCCCCGCCCTACCCCTGGGAGTCATGATTTGAACAAATTTGAATCTACACTACTTGAACATGCTTCCATATAAATATGATGAATTATGGCTTTGTCATTCTTGAGAAGAAGATTTTTAAAGAATTTTCCTATATATGTCTTTGTAAAACTTTGGTCGGCCATTTTGGCCCCACCCTACCCCCGGGGGTCATGATTTGAACAAACTTGAATCTTCACTTCCTGAGCATGCTTCAATATAAGTATGATGAATTATGGCTTTATCATTCTTGAGAAGATTTTTAAAGATTTTTCCTATATATTTCTATGTAAAACTTTGGTCGGTCATTTTGGCCCTGCCCTACCCCACGGGGTCCTGATTTGAACAAACTTGAATCTATACTATCTGAGCATGCTTCCATATAAATATGATGAATGATGGCTTTGTCATTCTTGTGAAGAAGATTTTTAAAGAATTTTCCTATATGTTTCTATGTAAAACTTTGGTCGGCCATTTTGACCATGCCCTACCCCGCGGGGGTCATGATTTGAACAAAATTGAATCTACACTACCTGAGCATGCTTCCATATAAATATGATGAATGATGGCTTTGTCATTCTTGAGAAGAAGATTTTTAAAGAATTTTCCTATATATTTCTATGTAAAACTTTGGTCGGCCATTTTGGCCCCGCCCTACCCCCGGGGGTCATGATTTGAACAAACTTGAATCTACACTACCTGAAGATGTTTCCCCATAAGTTTCATCTTTCCTGGCACAGTGGTTCTTGAGAAGAAGATTTTTAAAATATGCCACCAAATTTTCATTAATTCCTAATTATCTCCCCTTGAATTAGGGCGTGGCCCTTCATTTGAACAAACTTAAATCCCCTTCACCCAAGGATACTTTGTGGCAAGTTTGGTTGAAATTGGCCCA